GGAGCCTACCGTGGTGCAAAATTCCACTTCGGAGGCCACTTTTTCAGTATCTTTCGCCGAAATCGCCTCTCGGACTAAGTGGCACCCAACTGCGTCGTCATCGTTGGCTGCTTCGCAGCGTAAGTTTCACAGTGAACGACAGTTGCCAGAGAAATCCGACGATGCGTCGGTGGTAAGTATGACCTCGTCCATGGGGCACCTAACTGTCGCTGAGGCGACCCCCTTCAAGCCGCCACAGGCCACGCCGTCGGTCTCTTCCTCTTCCCCTCCGGCAAAGGTCGTGCGCACCTCTTCTAGCCAGCGCAGGCCAGTTCCTGCTACAGCCACACAGGTAAGAGGGCGGGGTGCTCCACGCCAGCTCCAATCTTCACGGGGCTCCACTCGAGGTCACGCTCCTACCTCCTCGAGGTCGGCAGCGTCAACCTCATCGGCCTCTCAGCCCTCATCGTCCCACACATCTACTCGGGGCACCGCTCCTTCCAGGGCTTCGGGTACACGTGGTGGTCGCGGCGCTAAAAGGCCGCGCCCAACCTTCTCCGGGTCTTTACCACAGGTTCATACCTCGCAGCTCCCACGGGAAACGCCAGACGGCTACACCCACTACCTTATCGACCAACACCCTTGGGCGCACTTCGTCAACCCTCGCCCCATCCATCACCTCCGGGAGCACCTACCCACGGTCGTCACGACCCTGGACACCAAAGTGTACCGTCCACTTGCCGGATTCCGGGTATATGTCCGCGCGGTTTAATAAATCGCTATTCCCGCAAGGTGGTTTTTAAGGAGGGCAGTCTTCCGCTTGAAATACCCTTCATTGAGGTACAGCATTTGGAAGACACCATTGCCTTCCGCGCGAGGTCCAAGCAAATAATTGATCAACTGTTTGCAGGTACCTATGAGAACCGGGATGTCGCCGACGTGAAGCCGTCTCCTCACAGGGATAACCACTACGTAACCGCGCCCCCGGTATACGAAGGGCTACACCCGGTTCTTTACCAGGTCGTAGCTACCGGCTGGGGCACTGGAGTCGTCCTTGAAGCCAAGGATTTCTTCGTTATGGGACCAGATCGACGCGATCTGCACTGCATTACCCTTGACAACTTCGCGATCGACGTCTGCACAGGTGCTCGTGGTTTCAATAAAGCCTTGGTTTCGATCAAGGACTTTGTGTGGGTTTACAACGTCAAACCCAACTAAACAGGCGTTGCAGTCTCCCACACTCTGCAGCAGGCGTCGATACCGCGAACTACCGCCTTGGACACCACCTCTATTTTCTTTTTCAGGGTGTCGCACTTCGCGTTCGAGGCCGTCCGCGACCGCATGGAGCCTACCTATGGTATCGCTCTTTCACTGACGACTCGCTACAATAAGGTCATCAACGCTCGAGCCGTCTTCGAGGGATGTCCGGACGCGGTCACGATCACTCCATCCATCTGCCGCTTCTCTCTTAATAGTCTCGCCGAGTACGAGATCGTAAGTAGTCGTTTACGTGTCAATGTCTCATCATCAACGCGTTTCTGCGAGCCACCTGTCTCTCTTGAAGCGCGTGCGCAGCTGGCTGGCATTG